AACTCAGAGTCCAATGGAAAAGCAAATGAAGAAAAGAAGAATACTTTAAATTAAAATTCAACATGAGATTTATATGTCCTCACTAAATCCATAATTCTGAAGGGTTTCATTAAAAGCCCAGCACCAGATGGATTCACAGCAGAATTTTACCAAACATTCAAAGAGGAATTGACACCAATTCTTTACAAACTATTCCAAAAGACTGAAACAGAGGCCATTCCTCCAAACTCATTCTGAGGCAAACATCATCCTGATACCAAAACCAGACAAAGGTACATCAAAAATAGAAAACTATAGGCCAATATCCTTGATGAATATAGATGCAAGAATCCTCAATACCAGAATATAGCAATACATACAAAAAATTATACACCATGATTAAGTGGGATTCATCCCAGTGATGCAAGGTTGGTTCAACATATGCAAATCAATAAATGTGATAATCAGATTGGATTCTTGGGGTATAAGATTAGAGTGTGGCTGGATGAGACCAAGCTTCTCACCATATTTAGAGCTATTTCAACGGTCATGCCTTCCTGACTGTGGGGGAGTCCATGTTTGTTGACTTTCAGTAAGGTTAGCACTTTATACTACCTGGGCTCTGCTTCCCTGGTTCTGGGTTTGGTCTGACTTTCACAGATTGCCTGCAATGACTAGTTTGCATTATCTTCCTGGATGCTGTAAAGATTGAGAGTTGGGTTAGGGCGAGGTAATTGATTATACAAGAAACAGGTCACAGTGCTGTTTTCAGGCATCTTTATTCATAGTCTGGCCACAAACTTCATTTTCCATGAGAAAACGTTTCCATTGATCTCACTGTTTATTGATGTCTTTTAAAAAAGTAATGATTGTTATGAACTTTGTAGTCATTTTCTCAGTGACAGCAAAGGCCAAATTTTTTTCTCCGGTATTTGGTTTGGCCAAAATTTCTGGGACTTAAAAATTAATTAGTGGCACACACTGTCTTATTCTTCTTGCGAAGCTTATAATCACTAATTATTTGGCACCATGGTGGCATCTCTGTTATGTGTTTACATGTTGTCTTAGTGAATGTTTATTCTCTGCATCTGTGAGTTGTTTATTTTCTGCATCTGTAAGTTTTTGAGTTTTCCCTTAAAATGGATGTATGTGTTTGGTATGGGAGTATGTGCATGTTAAGGAATGAGAAGAGGAGGGTTATTCTTTTTTTAAGTTATCACTTGAAAGGCTTACTGTATGCAAAACACTGTGCTAAGTATTTGTGATATAAAGTTAAAAAGATATGAAGATAACAAAGTTCCCCTGTTTTAAAAAACTCAGAGTCCAATGGAAAAGCAAATGAAGAAAAGAAGAATCTGGAAGTAATAGCCAGAGCAGTTAGAGAAGAGAAGGAAATAAAGGGCATCCAGATTGGAAAAGATGAAGTCAAGCTGTCCCTCTTTGCAGATGACATGATCCTATATATCAAACAGCCTAAAGCTTGTACAAAAAAACTCTTGGAGTTGATCAATTATTTCAGCAAAGTAGCAGGATACAAAATCAACACACGAAAATCAGTCATTTCTATTCTCCAATAGTGAACATGCAGAAAGAGAAATCAAGAAAGCTGGCCCATTTACAATAGCCACCAAAAAAATAAAATAC